CGGGGTCCATGGACTAGAACACAATAACTTTTTTTAGAAAACTGCCATAAAGCAGTTTTTATTGCTATAATGACGCATAGCGCTTGACCCGGGTTGAAATTTCGCTCCCAGGGATTGAAATCAACCAGTGTCAACAAAATCGTACAAACGTACTTCTGTGCGTATCTCGCGCCAGGTCTGAACGGCACTGCAGATGCAAATTTCGCGCGAACGGATTCACGTGACCATACAGGACTGTAGAAGTTTGGGTTTTTTTGGACAAGCCTTGAGCCTCTTGTACGGGCAAAATAACACATTTTGTGAAGAATCAACACAATTACATAAAACGAATCATCAGATACAGAGTCTGTCACTCAGTAAGATCACTGCAGGTTCACTGGATGCGTGCCTCCGCCGCCACTAGCACAGCAGGGGACTCAGGCACGGCAGGAGCAAACATGCTCCTTGAGCCACGCAGGCACATAGCACCACAACGCACCAGGGCAAACCCAAGGCGGCAGCGCAGCAAGAAGATAATCTGCCCGTATGGCTCCTTACTCTTCTCAGCCAGGAGAGAGGCGACCCGCGTGAAAAGAGCATTGGCATGCTTGCCATAGCCACCAGAGGCAGAAAGCACAACGGGCACGAAGGAGGCATGCTCAACTTCACGTACTCGCTCTTCGTACTTCCGGCGCTTTTCCTGTTCATGGCGTCTGTAGCTAGCAGCGAGGGAGGTGGCACGATTCGAAGACGCAAAAGGGTTGAACACCGGTACATCAATAAAGATGCGCTTGAATCGGCCACCCCACACACCACTAGCCGCAACGTCCAGCCGAGCTTGCTCCTCCGTGACAGCTGTGCGATGGCGGAAGGCCTCTCCGGTGACGGGCTGAAGGTGGGGTTCCACTGACACGTTGTGAGCGACCTGCCTTAGAGCTCTGGCGGTGATGTACCTCACCTCGTTATGTCGCAGCGTCGGGAAGCCACCAAACGGGAACGACAGGGCGTGACTCACACTCAGCGGCTTACTGCACACGCAGAGGCTTGGGAGCCGAGGAGGTGTCCAGCCGTACCGGAGGCACAGGCCATCCCGGAAATCTCCCTTGCTGAGTGTGAAACCATGGCGGCTGAGGGGGCGGCAGGTCAGCCAGCTGGATGCACCCTTTTCTGGGGCCAGGTCGAGAACAGGGGCCAGCTCCCGGTGATCCGAGCGAAGGGCGTCAGCCATAGACTTGAACGCGCTCCGCTTCTCGGCCCGAGCCGTCGCCTTGACCGTCCTGAGCTGAGTCAGAGAGTCGCCAAGAGACGACTCCTGCTCCAGCAGGCGAGACACGAGGCTAGCCGTGATCCTTCGGGATGAGGTGTACTGTTCAGCCACTGAACAAGGGTCTGCCATACCCAGTCCTCCATGCCGGCAAGGCAGAGAGAGTAGGGAGCGAACAGTTGTCCCAGGTGGAGTTTGACCCGTGATGGCCGGGATGAGCCGACCGCTGATTGCGTGTTCCAGCGGTTCAAGTAGGGACGGCGGGATGGAGGAGGTCCGGCACAGGAAGGACCACTTGTTTTGCAGGCCCTGTGTGAAGGCGGAGTAGGCGGCCTGTGGCTGCGATGCAGCGATGGTCGTGAGCTGCGCAACTTCCTCACACCAGGTGGCGACCTTGGACTGGACAAATTGTTCTATAAACTCATCCGTGCCCAAAGGTGCACCAAGGTGGCGGCAACCATCACACGTGACCTGCACACCGGTTCCCTCGAACATCTCGATAGCAGCTGCGTACCTGGAGGGCTTGACCAGGAGGAGTGACTTCTGGGCATTGCAGTGGTAGCCATACCCGGGACCGTGGCTGACCAGATTGTCCCACCATTGGCGAACAGGCGTTAGCTTGCCACCGGCTGCAGCATCGTTCGCATACCAGCCCTGTTTCGCACCAGGCACTGCAACTTTCTTGATGAGCGGGAGGACTCCAAGCGCATATACGGGCATGGCCAGAGGGTCACCCTGAGTGGTACCCTCGCACGATAGCAAGCACTCTCCATCAACGAATAGGCGGGATGTGGACTTTTGGCGGCATATCAGTATTTGACCCGGGTCAACTGTCTTCATGTAAACGCTCACCTCTTTTGTCTATCGTACAGACTTTCAACCCGGGCTGAACTCGACCCGGGTTGAAATTTCTTATGCAAACACAGCCTTGGTCAGTGCAAGCTGGGGACGCTACGGGTACGGGATTTGTGGACTGCATTCTCTCTACTACATGCACTCCCTTCAGTTGAGCAACTTCTACTTGCAAGGAGACAATGGCGTCTGTCTTGCTCGTTCGAAGACATTCTATTTCTGCAGCCATACCTTTTATAGTCTCGTTAAGCAGCTGGAAAGTGGAGAGCAGGTTGCTTACCATTTGGTCTGGTGACTCCCGTATTCCTAGTCCTTCCTTGCGAAGGGCAACAACCAAGTCTTGTCGGCCCATTGTCTCTGCTTTGGTCAGTCCTAGGCCTCAGCGGCTAATGCTAGTTTTTTTGGGCAAAAATGGTTTTGGCGATGCTAGTTATTTTGGTTGCTAATGCTAGGTTGAGTGCTCGTTTGCAGCATTAATGCTAGTTTCAGCACCAATAAAAAGGAAAGAAAATATTGTACAGAAATACTTTTTCGGATGGTCTTGTGTCTAATTTCATTGTAGACACGATCAGATGAAACAGGGCACCATGGTAAATTAAAGATAGAAATGCGATACTAGTAGTCGATACACGGTGGACAATGTCTGGCAACTATCTTCGTGTCCCATTACGGCTTGGGAACTCACAGCTCATGGCCACGGTTGTACTGGAGCATGAGCTCCACTTCCAGGTGGTCTGTCAGTGTTGAGGCTTGCTGGCTACTCGTTGCTGCTTCAAGGAGCGAGAAAACTCTCTCGGCAGCAGCAGATGATGGCGGCACAGTGATGACGATCCGGGCAGCATTCTGCCACAGCGGCAGTTGAACTTGGTCTCTCCACCAAGAAAGGCGGTCTTGGCCAGGTTGAGTATCAGCAGCAGCAACCTTGTAGGCTGCAAGCTCCACCTTGAGCTGTTGGATAGTGCCATCTTTATCCAGGGGCGGAAAGGCACGGAGACCATCAACTAGAGCGGGAACTGGATTCGTCTTGGCAACGAATATTGGGCAGCACAGCCTGGCAGCCTTGTATGCCAACACATTGGCAAACAGCGGTGAATCCTCATGGTTGAATTTTGTGAGGAAGTAACGAATTGCCGGACGCACGCAACCATTGGCATGCTCTTTCAACTGGTTCTGGCGGCCAACATCGCCGGGTGCAATGTCCTTCACAAGAGCTTCAACATTGGGGTAGACTGCATCTTGGGCAGCAGTAGCCACCTCTTGCAAATGAGTGTATGCATCCACACTCAACATGCCGTCGCCTTCAATGATGTCGGTTTTGCGGACGAATGGTTCCCCAAAATCAACGGTGGCAGCCAGCTCCATACGAAGCATATCACAGCTGTCAGGTGCCGTTTCGTTTTGCAGGATGGAACGGAGGCGGCGACAGGCATTCGGGCTTGATTTACATTCCTCCAAGAAGGGCTGAACATCCCCGAAGTATTTGAGCAGTTGTTCCAGCACTTCCCACAAACTCCACCACCTGGTTGCACTGTGAGACTTCGGTGATACACCTGTCCGTGTCTTCCAAGCGAGTTTAGGGGCATGACTGCGAGAGAAGAGACTGACCCACCATTGGCAGAACTCATCCAGGGCGGGGGTATCAAAGTGGTCTCCAATATTGTTCAAACTGTGGGAAGCGCAAACTACATCCATGGAACTCGGGTACAGCAAGTCTACAACATGCCGCACTGCAACCTTGTTAACAGATGCGCCATCACGTACGAAGGCAACTGGCCTATTGGCAGGTATCTGAAGGAATGTGCTCAGGCAGGCAATAAGTTCTCTGGCCATCTCCGTTCCTCGCATGCTTTTGGCAAGCACATGCATTCTCACCAGGCGTTGCTGGATGCACCATGATGCGTCCACGTAACGAATGATGATGGCGAATGCCTCGCCAAGATGGGTGGTACCGTCGAAAATTACTGCAACATGTTGTGCTTGCTTGATTTCCTCTTTCAGTTTCCCCATCTCCACCTCAAGCAGGAAGGGAACTAGCTGAGCCATATGTGAGCTGTGCGTGAGGTTGAGATTGTTATTAGTAGTTAGTGCGGGGTGGGTTCTGGTGCACTTTTTGACCGTTGACCTTTGGGCCAAATATGGCAGACTGTGTCGGGCTCGTTTGGTCTGGCTCGGGACTCCCCCAGGGTTTGACCTTTGACCTTTGGGTTAAATAAGGCACACTGTGTCGGGCGCGCTTGGTCTGGCCCCGGGACTCCCCCAGGGTTCGACCTTTGGCCCTGCCATGCCATAAATGTCATCATGTTCTTTTCCGTGGCGACCGTGCACTTGTGCACGTTCGTTGTATTCGCACCAGGGAGTAGTAAAATACGTACTACTCCCTGATTTGCACATAGTAGATGTGCAGTGAATGACATATTGCGCATGCGCGCATAAGCACGCGGAGTGTGCGACCTTCAGTGGCCCTGCGGAAAAGACGTATACACAAGGTGGACTAGTACACGTGTCATTGTAGGCTGATAGCCGACCTCATATACGCTGTACGGGGAGATTATTTCCTCAGTATGTTGTAGGCAGTGCTGGAGGTGACGTGACGATGGCGGAGCCAAGTGCAAAACGATCTAGGCAGCCCAGACAGCCCACCTCGAGTGCCGTGCGTGGGTTTTTGAAAAAGTTTTCTTTGCCAGGTTCAGGCACTGATCCTCTCGTCTTTTTCAGCAGCCATCATGACGAGCTCAGACAGGTTCTCCTCGAGGAGCTTCAGTCTCACACTTTCAAGGTGGTTTTAGTTTTGAGGGTGGAGATGACACGAGAGTCGGCCACGGGTAGTACGTCTGCCGTCCCGTTTTTTAGAACTAGACCGGCTCGGATCCTCAGCGAAGGGGATATTGATAGTGCAGTCAAGACGATGGTGGCGAGGATCACTGGTCTTATTGATAAGTGGATGCAGAACGGATCCAACTGGACCGTTTCTCGAGTGAGACAGCTGGATGTATCGACAGCAAAGTACACTCCTCTTCGAGGTGAGTTTCTGTTCATCCGGCAGTGTTTGTTCGAAGCCTGTCGAATTTCTTGTGGAAAGTTGTAGATGTATTGTTTTGTACTAGATGTACAGTTTGTCGTGATTGTTGAGAGGGTGTAGTTGTGATGTGGTGTTACTCTGAGCAAAGCCTTCGTTGTATTTTTGTGGTGTACTGTAGGTGGTGCAGCTGCTATCCCGCCGAAATTAGAAAAAAAGAAGGCCATCATTAACATAAAGAACAACGATGACAGGTGTTTGATGTGGGCGTTGTTGTCAGCGCTGCACCCCGTCGAACAGAATGCTGAGCATGCATCCAAGTACACCCAGTATGTGGAGGATCTGCGGTTCGACGGTGTAATGTTCCCTGCAACGCTCCGTGATGTATCCAAAGTGGAGATACAGAATGGTCTTGCAATCAATGTGTTTGGGTACGAGGGGAATCTGTACCCACTCTATCTCAGCGAGCGACAGGAGACTCCAATCAACCTCCTTCTACATGACAACCACTTCACATGGATAAAAAACTTCAGTCGTGCATGTGAGAATAAGAACAAGCGGGCAACACACTACTGCTTGCGATGCCTCTCCGCACACAAAACAGCAGACTCCCTGCAGCATCACAGCGAGAGATGTCAGGTGATGAAGCCCGTGCCAGTCGTCATGCCCACAGCAAAGGACAGCATCCTCAAATATACAAATTTGAAGCACAGGATGGTGGCTCCATATATCATTTACGCTGATACGGAGGCCATCATTGAGCCGATGGAGGAACAGCATGGCAGCAGCACTGTACGCACAGCCCGTCATGTACCATGCAGCATCAGGTATGTTTTGTTGTTGGTGTTGTTTTTGACTAATGTTTGCTGTACTCATGCCTGCACAGTGCTTCCTGTTATTCCTTCTTGTCTTGTTCTCCCCTAATTGTGTTCGTGTTGTAGTATGTGCATTTTGTGTGATTCCATTTTTTCAAAAAATCACTCATTCTTACTTTCCTTCTTCTTTTATGCTCTTGTAGATATGCTGCCATCCGATCCAACGGTGAAGTCCGTGGCGAGTTTGGCGACTGCAGTGAGAATGCCATTCACAACTTTTTCGACAGTCTCAAAGAGTTGGAAGGCAGTATCCAGGAGGATTTGGCTGATATCAAGCCAATTCGCATGACGGCAGAACTGGAGCTTGAGTTTCAGAACGCAGTCAACTGCTGGATATGTGATGAAGTACTTGGAGAAGATCGTGTTCGTGATCATGATCATCTCACTGGTAAGTATTATAATTTTTTGTTTATTTTTGTTGTTTTGCAGTTGTGTGTAGATATGCGCATGATGTGTATAGTGCATTTTCATGTCTTTGTAGCTGTTTGCATCTGTGTTTTATCATGGTGTATTGAATTGTATTGTCTGTGGTATCACCTTCACTGTAGATGTTTACTATGTTTGTGTATTCCCCTCTTTCTGAATATCTGCACAGACAACTACCGTGGTGCTGCACACTACCAGTGTAATATTCAGCTAAGTATCTACCCAGATCGCCAGATCATTCCGGTTGTGTTTCACAACCTGAAAGGGTACAATGCTCACCACCTCATCGCCCACATTGGTATGACCGAGGTTGAAGAGGTGGAGTACGAGGACTCTAACCAGCGTAAGCGGATTAAGAAGGTTGGTGAGATCAGTGTCATCGCCAACAACATGGAGAAATATATTTCATTCAAGTGGCGTCAGTACCGCTTCATCGACTCCATGGCCTTCTTGAACTCCTCTCTTGACTCGTTGGTGAGCAACATCCCGGAAGATGCGCTCAAGCTTACTCGTACATTGGCCCATCATGACCTTCTCCTGCGTAAGGGTGTCTACCCCTACGAGTACATGGACTCCTTTGCTCGGTTTGATGAGACACAGCTGCCACCTAAATCAGCATTTGAGTCTAGTTTGACTGGAGAAGGTATCAGTGATGCCGACTATGCCCATGCTCAGAACGTATGGCAGGTAAGCAGCTTGTGCCTTCTGTATTGTGCTCTACTTATGACTTTGAATGCTGTTGTGATGTGCTCTACACATTTTTTTTTGTACTCATTGCTCTCTATCTGTGGATGCTTGTGTGCATGTGTGTATGGATGCTTGCGTGTGTGTGTGTGCGTTGTTGTTTAGTTTTTCGTTTTGCAGACATTTGAGTGCAGTACAATGGAGGCCTATCATGACCTCTATTTGCAAACAGATGTCTATCTTCTAGCAGAAGTCTTTGAGCATTTCTGCAAGACGGCATACAAGACGTATGGGTTGAATCCAGCCCATTACCTTACTCTCCCAGGTATGTTCATCAGTCTTTGTTGTTGTCCAATGTATTCTCTCCTTTAGATGGTGTTCTCTGTTAGTATGCTTGTGCTTTCTTGTCGGTGTATTTATATACTTTTTGCATGGTGTATTGACTTTCGTGTTTGTGTTCTGGTGTGTTGTATGGTGTTATGTAGGATATGCATGGGATGCTCTACTACGGTTCACCCCGATTGAACTGCAGCTGCTCACGGATGTAGACATGCATCTGTTTGTCGAAGCCGGTCTACGTGGGGGCATCTCAATGGCGTCGCAGCGGTACGGCAAGGCCAACAACCCAACGATGGATCAGTACAATTCTGCCGAGCCCACATCATACCTGCTATACCTTGATGCCAACAACCTGTATGGCTGGGCTATGTGCCAGAGTATGCCGACATCCGAGTTTGCCTGGTGTGACAAGAACCTGTCCGAGATACTGGCACACCCTGTAGATTCGAGCACTGGGTTCATTGTGGAGTGTGATCTTGAGGTACCCTCTTTGCTGCACCACTACTTCAATGATTATCCACTCGCACCGGAAGTGATGAGAACATTCTCAGATAAGCTATCACCATACCAACAAGCACTTGTGGAGGAGCTCAAAGTGTCAGCCGTAGATGGAGTCAAGTTGACACCCAGTCTCCTACCCAAGTCCAAGTATGTGTTACACTACTGTACACTGCAGCTGTATTCGCGTCTGGGCATGATGGTGACCGCTGTTTACAAGGTGTTGGGATTTCAGCAGAGTGCCTGGATGGCCCCCTACATCAATCTGAACACTGCACTTCGCACGAGGGCTACAACCGACTTTGAGAAGAGCTTTTACAAGGTAAATGCAACCGTTGTGTGCAGTCTTGTATGTTGTTGTTGTTGTTGTTGTTGTTTTTGTCGCATGTATGGTGCAAGTGTGACGTGGAGTATGCTAATTGAAAAATATGCTGATGTGAAGGAATGGCATGATATGATTCTCATGTGTCATGTTTGCCTGTTTGTGTGCTGCGGCTGATGAACAACTCAGTCTTTGGCAAGACGATGGAGAACGTTCGTAATCGAATACGCATCGATCTCTTGCGAGAAGAAAGTGAGGAGCAGGTACTGAGGGCAGTGAGCAAGCCTACATATGTGCGGCACGACATTTTCCCAAACGGGCTTGTCGGAATAGAAAAGCAGCACACTGAGATCAAGCTCAACAAGCCGGTCTATGTGGGTATGTCGATACTAGACCTGTCAAAGGTGCACATGTACTCTTTCTATTACGATGTGCTGAAGGAGCAGTACGGTAGCAGAATCCGGCTGTTGTACACCGACACCGACTCTGTTATTGTGCACATAACCACCGGTGATGTTTATGCAGAGATGGATCTGTCTCTGTATGACACCAGCAACTTTCCCACTGACCATCCTCAGTACACTTCTGTCAATAAGAAAGTGGTTGGCAAATTCAAACATGAGCTTGGTGGGAAATCCATGGTGGAGTTTGTAGGTCTAAGATCGAAGATGTACTCCTACATCGGGCAGGAATCGGCCAAACGGGCCAAGGGTGTGCGGAAGGCAGTCCTGGCAAATACCATCACCCACAAGGACTATGTAGATGCACTGCTCAGTCATCGTGTGTCTGCCAGGCCTATGACGGGTCTCCGATCACATTGCCACACAGTGTATGAGGAGGTAACCACCAAGGTGGCATTGTCTCCATTCGACTGCAAGCGGTATATACTGGATGATGGCATGGCCACACTTGCATATGGTCACAAGGACATTTAATGGGCAGGACCCCACATTGAACATGTTTCATCATTTTCATGCAAAACTCCCCGCCATTCTTCTGTCTAATATTCCTCCTTTCTTGACGTGTGGAGCTGGCTCCAACACTCTACATTTTTGTTAAATATTTCAGGCTTGTTCCTCAATTATATTGCAGGATATAGTGCATTGTGCGGTATAATAATCTTCATCGCATCATAAAATATTACCCTACATACTTTGGTTTGCAGTGTGTGCGCAGCATAGTCCATATATCATCAAATTGATCAAGTTCCGTATCTGCGGGCATATATTTCCCTAGCTTGAGAAAATGCTTATATACTTGCGTAAATTTATGCTCACAATGATGACATAAAAATGAGATTAAAGTCCATATGATGGCCAGTATGAATGTAGTTATGATGCTTGTTCTTTCGGCTGGTGAGGTTTGAGTGGATTTCTCTGCCACCACATTGCTGGCTCCGAACAGCACTGGTGCAAGCAGGAGTAGTTGTTGAGTAAGTTTAACTTTATTCAAACGCCCCTTCACTTTCTCATAGGTTCCGCTGTTGCTCGCAGTTGATGGCTCGGCTGATGGGGTGTCATTGCTTGAGGAGTCCATCTTGATCTTACTGCACCGGGAATTTTTTCTCACATCCATTCAACCATTAGTATGAGAAAATTTATGGCCAAAAAGGCTGAACGAGGATGAGTCCATACTGAGCGATTTGACCAGTTGAAGTCGTGTGTAAGGGTGTTTTCAAAACTTTGCCAACCTCCTTTTTCCGCCAACCAGGGTGAAACATTGGTGGTCATGTAATCTAAGTGCCAGGTCATGACATGATGTACATAGTGCAATCCCAGTTCCGTTGAATTCTCCATACAGATGTTCGCTAACTCGCTGCTGAATAAGTACAGGGCCACAATTTTAACATGGCTGATACCGTTTTTAAATAGTTCTTTTGCAAATGTAAGAAATTGCGTACGACCCGTTCTGGAGTTGAAACACAGTTGCCGCATCAGCACCTGAAATCTCGATCCACTGCGCCTGACTAAGCGACACACTCGTACCAAAACTCTAGAAAGCCGAGATGGTTTCGACTCCGGCGACGATACACATTGTGGTAGGTCTACATGACCTTGTTCTGCCAGTCGATCAGCAATAACAGCAGAAGCAGATTTCTTGCAGTAGTCTGCATTGTGCACTGCATCATCGTTTCCCTATACTACTATCCTTGGAAATATACCTCATTTCTTTCTGCGATACCCATTGGTTGAACTTTTCGGGGTATCCCTTCCACTTGACCAGCAAACTACCCTCACGTCTTTTCAACACCTTATCGATTCGAAATGTAGCTTGCTCAGTCTTCATGAGCTGCTGTTTGTAGAAGCTTCCTGTGATGGGTTCATCGGCAAGGTCTTTCACTTTGTAGGTGACCGGATAAGTGGGGAGAACCTTACGAATCACAAATACCTCTTCGGTCCAGTTGGGTGTGTATCCCTTCGCAAACATTCTTTTTTCCACTGTAATGCGAACTTTATCTCCGACTTGAAAGACAGGCTCATCCGCAATGGGCTCATACAGTTGCTCAATCGGTTTTCCTAGGGAGGCTTCCATGGGGGTCATCCCAATTGTACGGTGTTTTCTATTGTTGTAGTTGTCGACAAGTTTTTGCAGCACATCGATGTAGACGTTGGTCGAGCGAGCGGTGAAGTGCTTCCACATACGAGATTTTAGCGTTCTGTTGAAACGTTCAACGACGACGGCTTTTCCTTCATTCTCTGTACTGTAACAGGTTTAATCAAACTTGAAAAGTAAGAGGCCTGGTTGAGCGTGCCTCGACCAGTTATATGCAAAATGTGATAGTATACATGTGGCAATGGCGCCAATGAAGGTGCTAATAGACAGGCGTAAGACGCATGAGGTGCGAGGGAGTGTAAAGTTATAGAGAACAGGGAAAACTGTTACATCATCCCCTCCTATGGAGAGGAAGGAGCTTATAACCCAAATGCTCAAGTGGAATAGAGTACAATAAGCGCAAACACGTGCGAGACGAAAAAAGGCTTGAAGTAACACAATAAGACGACTGAAACTCCATGCAAATAAAGTGTAATAAGCTCAACAAATGTGTAAGGTGAAACTAGAAGTTCAACTGCAAAACTCAGCGGGCAGAAGCCAAGGTTTTGTACTTCTGAAGTGGAACAATGTCATTACCAGATTCATCCAACAAATAATGTTCAGGCTCCCAAGTGGCATCAGAGTAGCCTTGCCACTTGACTAGGTACTGAAGCTGATTCTGCCGGCGGCGGTGACTGAGAATGTTCTCCACCACATAGCGGGCATGACCATCAAGGTCCGTGATAGGCGGAGGCGTAGGCTGTCTCCTATTAGGAATAGCGTTCTTCTCGTAGGCACGGAGTGCCGACACATTAAATACCGGGTGACAGCGGCTGGTATGAGGCAACTTGAGCTTGTAGGCATTCGGGCCGACCACATGGGTTATAGGAAAGGGGCCAAACCACTTGGGGCGTAATTTATGGGATGGTCGGTCCCGAGCTTCAGGAGTCAGGAGGAAATCCCGGTAGACCATTACCAAATCTCCCACCTTCAGCTTTCCCTCGACCCTTGTCCGATCTGCATAGAAGGCCTGACGAGCTTGAGCTGCCACTAGCGCATCTTGTGAGATCTTGACCGCGTCTTGTCTTGCTTGCAACCAATCAGCTGAATCTCTGCCTCCTGAATAGGGTTGAGGAAGTCGGGTGGCGCTCTGGGATTTAGACCGTAATTTAAGAAGAACGGTGTGTTTCCTGTAGATGATTGAGTAGCGCTGTTGATAGAAAACTCACAGAGAGGTAGGAGCATATCCCAGTTATCTTGTTTATGATTTACAAAAGCCCTCAGCACATCCTCTACTATTCTGTTTACTCGTTCAGTTAGGCCATCTGTCTGAGGGTGATTGGCAGTACTAAATGCTAGTTTCGTTCCTAAGCGATCAAACAATTCCTGAAAAAATGCTGCCGTAAATCTTGGATCACGATCACATACAATACTAGAACTCAAACCATGAAGTCGAAATACATGTTGAATATACAGATCAGCACTTCCTTTAGCGTCAATAGTAGAGGAAGTAGGTGCTAAATGTACACACTTTGTCAAGCGGTCTACAAATACATATATAGCATCATGACCTTTGTCGGTCCTAGGCAAACCCATGATAAAATCCATCGAGATATCTGCCCACGGCTGACTGGGCACTGGTAAATTCTGCAAGAGACCAGTTTTTAGCTGGCCGCCTTTAACTCGTTGGCAGACGTCACATGACTTGACAAAGGCCTTTACATCCAGTCCCATTCTGGGCCAATAGAAATATCTAGAGAGTCTGAAATAGGTGCGATCTCGACCGGGATGCCCCGCAGTCACACAGTCATGGTATTCTTGAAGCAGGGCGAGTCGGAGTTTGCTACTCTTTGGAATGCATAACCGGTTCTGTGGTGAAGATCTGAGATAAAGATAACCGGGTGTTTCATTTAGAAGGTAACGGTCGTGCAGATTGTCATGGCTTGAATTTTTCAGTCTCCTGATAATGGGAGCAAGATCCTTGTCGCACTTGTAACCGCTGACAATTAACTGCGCTAAGTCTGGATTAATCTCTAGGGTATGCTCTATGGCATTCAACTGAATGTTAGGAGGATAGGATGACCCGCCTATTTCAGAATCACTGAACAGATCTGGACGGCGTGAAAGCGGGTCGGCAATGTTTTTCTTTCCTGGTTTGTGAAAGACCGTAAAGTCATAGTCAGCTAAAAACTCTACCCATCTTGCCTCACGCTTGGTGAGAGTCGGTTTGGTTCGTAAATAGACAACACCCATATTATCAGTCATCAGGTCAAAGTGGCGGAATAGATAGATTCTCCAGCACTTTAATGCAAATACCACAGCCAACGTTTCCCTCTCGGCCGCAGTATAGTTGCGTTCTGCAGCTGACAGTTTCCGACTACAATAGGCTACGGGATGCAAATCCATATCTTCTCCCTGCTGCAGGAGCACACCCGCCACTGCAAAGTCACTTGCGTCAGTTTCTACCATGAAGCTTTTCTCAACATCGGCCAGTTGCAACACTGGCGCCTCGAGTAATGCTGATTTTAGAGACTCAAATGCCTTCTGTCTAGCAGCGCTCCATTCAAAGCGTGAATTTTTTCCGGTGATTTCTTCTAATGGACGAGAGATGGTCGAGTGTCGATCTATGAACCTTCGGAAATAGTTTGCAAAGCCAAGAAACTTCCTCACATCAGTTACTGACGACGGAGTTGGCCATGTTTCCACAGCACTTATCTTCTTGGGATCAGGGGAAATTGATGTGCCGTTGATTTTATGCCCCAAGAAGAGAACTTCTCTCACGCCGAATTCGCATTTAGACTGTTTGCAATACAGCTCACTATTTCTAAGTGTTTCTAGAACTGTTTGAAGATGATGCTGATGTTCTTCCCAGGTCTTGCTGAAAACTAGAATGTCATCCAAGAATACTACAACGAATTTTCGGAGATGCGGTTGCAGAATAGAGTTCATGAGAGACTGAAAGGTGGCCGGGGCATTAGTCAGCCCGAATCCCATGACTCTAAATTGGAAGTGGCCGAACGGCGTATTAATGGCCGTCTTAGAAACATCCGAGTCTTGAATTCTGATTTGATTGTAGCCTGACCGCAAGTCCAACTTGGAGAAATATGCACTGCCCTGGATCGTGTCGAATAAGTCATCAATATTAGGAAGACAAGCTTTGTTTTTGATCGTAATTCTATTCAATTCTCGCCAATCGCACACCATTCTCAGAGTACCATCCGACTTTTTCACAAAAAACACAGGTGCACCGTATGGCGACTTACTTGGCTCAATGAATCCCTTCTCAAGTAATTCTGATAGCTGTGACTGGAGCTCGTCCATCTCTGGTTTCGGCAGGCGGTAGGCGGGTCGAGACGGTGGTCTGGCTCCATCTTCTATCTGGATTTCATGGTCGACTGGTCTC